AATGGAGTATAGTAATGCATGAATCTAAGGATGAAGCCTCCTTGGTCTAATTTAAAATAGAAGAGACATTAAAAACTTTTTATCTAGAAAATTGCTTAATGAAGAAAAAATGCATGCTTATTCAATCTTCAAGCCAAACGCGATTTCTCATTGTTCGTTCGTAATGACCGCCGTGTAATCCGTTTATTAAGTGATTCCTCGGTTGTAAATTGTAAACGTCTAGAGACGTCCAAGTCCAAGGTGAAAGAGACCAGGAATTGGTTGCGAACACAAAAACAGTTTGTCTGTTCACGCTCGATTACGGGTTGGCATATTTTTTTGACTGCAATGAAGTCGTACCAGTTTTTCATTCTAAATAACTTTCTTCGAATTATTTTAGTCGATGTCACTAAATGTATTAAAGTAAATCTTCGTCTCCGTCGCGACATCATTCATTGTGTGTTTTATCTTTCGCTTTTCAGGAGATACAATCATGACATTGTTAACGATACGATCGAAGTGTCAATCGGTAAATAGCCATCGTAATGCCCACTTATTGAGCTGTCAAATTTGGTCGCTTTAGCACTTATGAATATCGATAACTTCACATCGATAATTTAACTTACAATTATCGTTAAAATATCACCGTGATTTAACAGATTTCGGTTAAAGTGCGATTCTCTGATCGCGCAAATTCTGCCTTTTAGGTTTTCTCTATGCCTTTTTGGTTTCACGAGAATCAAATCTAACACGAGATAGAGTTTACTCGGAAGAGTTGATTTAAAACCTGTCTTCATGTTTTTAAACTCCATCTGATTCATAATTACGTAGGGTAGACTGGGTACGGTTGTAACAATTTTTCTTTAATTATCTACAGCAAAGCTATTACAACAGGAAACAACCACCAAAGTTTTTGAAATGAAAGTATATTTATTTGTCTTTAAATTAATATCAAAACCAATAGCTTTGGTAAGACAGATTAGCAGGAATAAGCCGTTTTAAAGAGTGTGTGCGATTGTTACAATCGACCCCACACCAGGGGCGGTTGTAACACCTATGGGTGGCAATTATAACGCCAAAAAATAATATACAAACCCTACGTAATAAATCAGTTTTATTCATAAAAAATTACAAAATTAAGTAAATACAAAATAACAACATTTAAGGCACATTTAAATAGTCTTTTTAAATAATAATAATTAATCAAAGTTAGGCAACAATATCTGAGGTTATACAATAGTTTTTTTCTATATTAAATCAAACTCATCGTAATTATGGTAATATAATATTTACTCCAATCAGTGAGTTGTCTGCAGCCTCCTCGACACTGAACTCTTTCCAGACTAAGTAGCAGAATACGTCTCTAGGCAAAGAAGGCAATAATACCGCTCTTGGTATTCGCTAAAAATTATATTATGAGCTACATATCCCATGCTAACATTTGCTACCTGTTCTTGGTTATCTTAATTAACTGCATACGGCTTTCGCTTGTATCTCAAAAGAGACACATAGTTAACGCCGTACTTCTCTGCCCCGAATTTAACTTCATCGTAAGCGTTATTGTACGACAACATGTCACTTCCACCTCCCGAAGACTTTCTTATGCGTTTCCTAGGCACCCACTATACAAAAATATTATAAAATTAATGTTACAACCGTCCCCAAGAAAATCGTTACAACCGTCCCCACCTTCCCATTTTGATAATAACTCTATCAAAAGGACGATGTAGCATAACTTGTACAAAAACGAATGAGCTTATTATAATCTTTAAAATACGACGATTACATAAGCATATTTCGAAATACGATAGTATAATTAGTATTTAAGCTATATCATAAAGAAATACCCCAGAAATACTTACTTTTGGTTGACAAAACACAAGAGGCCTCCTTGTAAGCGTTATTACCGCGCGAAAGGTGACTCTACATTGGCGATCGTGTCGAGACTTGTTACCCGCGTGCTCTTCTCTTTTTGCCCCTCACCTACCATTCATAGTTTCGATGATATTCGAGTTGTTACAACCGTACCCAGGCTACCCTACCTAGTTTTTACTATTTGTTCTTCAGAAAGATTTTTCATATGCCCTGCATAGTTTCATCGATTCAATACTAATGTTAATTATACTCGATAAGCGAATGGCCTTTAGTCGATCTAAGAAACGTTAAATTTCATTACCAAATCACAAAGAGCCATTCTAAATAACACAATGTCTTACCATTTGAATTGTTTTTCAAGCATTTCACTGATTGTTCTGTGCGATAACGCCCAGACGCGGAAGCTGTGGACGTATGAATAATACCCGCCATTTATTTAAAATAAAAAGCGTATAATTTGATAAATGCGATGCCGTTTTGATCTTTAAGTGACCGTAATGAGCGGAAATTTGCGCTTCCAAGTTACTACTTTAATAATTTTGTTGAAATTTATAAGGACTATTTATAAAATTAAGAACCATACAAAGTCGTTTCAAGGAATAAAACATACATATAGTCATACTAAGCCACTAACAGTAATCCTGGGCCTATGTTATTGTAATTATGGCGCGTCAATGGTGCTCCAATAACAAATATTTTTGACAGAATTCTTGTAAATAGATCACAAAAGGACCATCGTCACCAATGATTTGGGAAGAAGACACTACTAATATATTTGGACCTCAGGTAGATACTAAAATGGCAAAATGCTTAGTGCATGAGACAGTTTATAATCTGTTTGGGGAAAGCTTTCCGGGTTAATTTGAATTTTTGACGGCAGCGACTGCTACTATGTCTTACGCTGATTCCCTTGCGAGGCAGAGATAATTCTTATAGAGCACTACTTCTCGTGTGCTCTATAAGAAACTTGCTGCTTTTTATGACGATAAAAAGCGTGTGTGGTGATTCTTGACATGTCCCAGATTTTATATACTTGATAGCTGAAATGGGAATAGTTGCCTTTTCCTTCTTAATTATTAGTTATTTCGCTTTTTTAAACATATTTGGATTCGTGAAAATATTGATCTATGTATATTTTAATTACTTTCCCTCAGCGTAATGAATTACAATAGTAATCAGAATACAAAATGTCACAATTAATATAGATCGTGCGAAAGCGAGATAGGCCAACGAGAATATGATTTATTACGGTGTCGCCGCTTATCCATTAATCCGGGCTTTGGCCAATATATTTCCAACTGACGGTGTTGATCCATCAAAATGCTTTGCAATATTTATTGTGGTCGAGTACTTAAGTTGCTTTCAGCGTATCCTGTAAGAAGGGTTTTGTTTTACTGACATATAAACACACACACTCGAATAAACATAATAATTCCGTTTTGGGTAATGAAAGAAATTGAATTGAAAACAAACACGATTACTAACAGTTTCTCTTTATTACGTCTAGGTAATGCTAAAAGGCGCTTGTAAATTGAACAAATAGATAATCTATATTTTTCTAAAGGGTTCGTTATAGTAATACTGAAAATTACGAAATTTTCATCCATTTTATGCGAGGAGTTTTTAATTACATAAAATTTACCTAGCGAAATGTTCTATATATCATATTAAAGATTATATATTTATATTTGGTTATCATTTCCATAATCAGTTCAGTATTTACTACCATATTCTGTTAACGCAGTTTTTAATTTGGCTTCTTTCCTATAATATCTTTATCCAAATGTAACCTTTGTGGAAAGTCAGGTTTTATAAGACTAATTTGTTCAATCAAACTCTTGTGTCGATTTATTTATTACACAATAGTATAATATCAAGTTGCCTCAAACTACACAAATAGCGTTAATTTCTCAGTCGGTTTGCGAGATCGTCAGTTAATCTAATAAGTTTTGTTTCTTGTCGCATCTATGCCGATAAACTCTCATATTAGATTTGCCGATCGATATTATAACTATATCAGGAATAGATAATTGATATTTTATAATAATTGATTATTTGCAGAATTTTCTTCAGTTAGATTTTAGGATGCAAATTCTAAAAGAGTGGTTTATACTTCGGCTCGTACTCAATATTTTAATATAAATCAGCTGTACACGAAGCAGAACATCAGTCTTCCCCCAGTACAGATCTTTGCTTCCTATATAGATTCGAAATTATGTTGGAAAATATTTTTTTAATAAAAACTGACAAAATACTCGTATATTCAACATTCTTTAAAAAAAATTAAACCATGAAATGAAGATAAATAGATTTTAAACCCAAGTGGTTGATAAATTAAAGCGATCAAAGAATCTCTTAAACCTGATTCTACTAAAACAGAAAAGTTACAAAATCTCATATCGATTTTATCACATCAAAGCATAGTATTATTTTTGTAAACATAGTGATAAAGCCACACATTGATAACCATAGGATTATAACCTTTAATATTATTCATATAGGTTTATCAGGAGCTAGCAGTGAGCGTGTTGGTGATGATAGTATTTACCTGAAATCGTAAGAAACGTACTGACCACGACATTACTGTTAATGTTGAATTGAACTTATTTTTGTATAATTTGTAAAGCAGAGGGTGTATCTAAAATCGAAAAACTTGCCGAGTGGTCTCAAAATAAAAAGCAAAGGTTATGAACCTCTAAACCTAAAGTATATAAAAGGTTAGAAATACCGAAAAGTCACAATATAGAAATTCCGGTTGACTGTACATGTAGAATGTTATAATCTGGTTCTTCTATATATCAAGTCTGTTTACTAAGTCAACAATAATGTTCAACATGTAGATGAGTATAATATTTCTTAAAGGATATAAACCAGAGTTTGTTTTGTTTACATCAGCTCAAGCTAGGATTATTACAATATGCCATTTCATTCCACCCTGGGCATAAAAGAGATCGACTTTCGTTTGCAGAAAACAACCAATAAAGCCGACAATTTTAGTTATTTATGTCTGCGTTATCATATCTCTCATAGCTGTACCTAGCTCGCTATCCCATTGTGAGAGTTTATGAGCTGAATATTTTGGATGCCTATACCTTTTGCGCAGTTTGCTTTTTCGCTGTCCGTAAAAGAATGATTTATTGTTTCAGATGCCGATCATGCAGACTGACGGGTTCGGAGCCGCGTTACGCTAAAGAACAGTTTTAATATCAAGTTCAGTGGAGTTTGAAATTAGAAGCACTACATTTTGATGCTTTCTGTGATTTAATTTTAAAATGCGCCATTGCGATTAGCTAGCGCGCACGACGCGCTCGTGATTAGTGATGTGGTGTGTCCATTGTGGATATCGATAGTCCAAGATGGCGACGATGGATCTTACAAACGAAGTCGTCCGATTAAGGGCGGAGCTGGAGAAAGTCTCCCAGGAACGGGACATGTTGCTGTGCGAAGTCTCAAATTTGAGACGCGAATTGGAGTTGAGCGAGTTGAAACATCTACAAGATGACAGGTAAGAGAAATTTTAAATTATGCTTTATTCAATTCAAAGTGGGTATATACATATTTTTCACGTGTTTCGGCACGTATGTTGGGTATGTCACAACTGTTTCGTGGCAAACAAAGGGTGCCTCCGTCTTGTGGGTCCTTTGAAAAGCTCGACAGTTCGTCGGGGACCTCTCACTCCACTAGGGTGATGGTATAAGTTGTAATGGAACAGCGTCAATTACCCTGTAGACAGTTAAATTAGGCTAATTAAATTCAAACGACGGCGTCCTTTACAAATCCCCACGGAATAAGTTTCACTAACTAATTTTAGGAAGTATTTAGTGTCATTATTTTTTTTATCGTTTATATCCGGACTATTCTGTGTTCATATGACCTGGACTACTCAAATATTATATAGTTCGCAATAGATTTTTTGTTAAAACTTTTTCCAGTTTTTTCTCATTTTACTGAATACTTAATTTTTATGTAGGTTGCACGATTTTTCAGAATAGTGTTATTATTATTTAAATAAATAATGGTGTCTGTATGTGCCAAACGCTTATAGTTGAGACAAATATAACAAACACATTTATTTGTTATTCCCAGAAAAGTTTAAGTCTTCAAAAAAGTGAATGGATTTTATTTTGGCTATTAAATTGGCAACAGTCTGATAATCTTGGAATCTTTTATTAATGAAATTTTACGATTATGCTTTATTTAAACGAGTAAAGATTTCATTATCCAATTAAAAAATTTGACGTGAATCAAAACGATTGGGGCTGGATCTTCCCTATGGATCGGGAAGAATGTGCCATGACCCACCGTGTAGGTCGAGTACATTTTGGTGGGTATTAACGACTGCAGATGCAGACACAACAGATGGCAACACTTCAATTTTTAGTTCATCGAATATTTCCTATTTTTTATATTATTAAGATTAAAATAAAAAATCGCCATTGTTCTGTCTCTTGTGTCGTCGGCGCACTCTTGTTTCTAGCTATTGTTCGGCCGAGTTTCCGCCGCCGCGCCACTGACGTCACGAGGTCCTTCCTACCTTGAATAGGCTCTTTTGAAATGATACGAAAACGAAGCCTGCAAAATATTAAATCCGAATATATAGCTTAAGTAATGACGTTTTGATTTTTTTATTACTAATTATACTCCTAGTAATAAGGCTGATGTAATGATTATTTTTAACCATAATTTGCTTTGAAATTGTGTTTTATAATTTGTCCGATGTATTTAAAAATATTTTTTTTATGATATTTGATCTTACCTTCGTATTTAAAGAAAGCAGTTTTAGGATTTGTCGTAAAAGCGACACTTGTAACATCGGTCCTACTGGAAGTATGCGTTTGCATTTATTACATATTTACATATACAATAAACATCATTCAAGGATATCTGATTTCATTACTCAGTTGTTTAAATAGATAATTGCAGTTAAAGATAAACGAAAATCGATCTGAACCACACACTCCGTAGGAGGGAATTTTAAAATTGTTTCTAAGAAAACATATGAGCCTTCGCACACCAGACAGTAGGGATCGAATAATTAGTATTTTAATTTCACCAGTCATTCTTTTCTGAGGTGTAATAACATTCGTCTGATTGGACTCGGATATAGTTAAACTATATCGGGCAGTCTCCATGCTCCGTATTACCTGCATCTTGAACCAGTTCTTGCTCCACTGCACGGTATTATCCCAAGCAAACTCAGCTGGACAAAAGGCTGTTGTCATTTGGTCTCTCTTAGAAATGTTATATTCTTTTTAGGAGATATGCTAAATTGCTACTTTAATAAGGGCCTAATAAATAAAACAAAAGATATTGATTGTGTTTTTGGGAGCTAAACGAATCTGTCGGCATAAAGAATAGGTTTATGAAATATTAGGGTTTCCCGTAATAACATACATAGTCAATTGTTGAGAGGGGCTTTGATTGATTATGAAAAATTATGAGTAATACACTGTCAAATGGGTCAAAGAAAATTGAGGTACCTGTGTATAATGTTATCATCGTCTGTCTATCTGAACGCGATCACTAAAAACTAGCGAACAAATAACTCCATAAAGCGCATGGAGTAAATATGCGCTTTATCTCCAAAAACACCAATCCACGATGATGGTCTGGTGTATAAAAATTCCCCAAGTTCTATATAATAGGTTAGGGAAACTGTTTCTTTGCATTTTATTTGAAATAATTAAAATAATTATACATTTAACCATCTTGTTTGATAACTTTTTGCCATCTTGTAGGTATGATTCCATTAGGTAGGTACTATAGAAATTTTGTGGTTTCTAATCAAAAAACCGCGACAAGTGGTTTTGGCAGTCCTCACGTGATGTCAACCTGACACTGCCTAAATAATTAAATAAAATTACAAAGAGATCGAAACAGGTGCGAACCTGAAGGTGCAAGGTCAGGGATATACGGCGGATGCATTAACACCTCCCAGCTTAAGACTCTCTATTTTTACCGAGTGGTAAAATATATCTGAGGTTTAACGTTATCATGATGAAAAACCACACCCCTTCTATTGATTAATACTGACCGCTTTCTCTCAACTTGCTTTAATCTCATCGGTTGTTCGCAGTAGAGTTCAGAATCGATGGTCTTGCCTGGCGGTAACAGCTAGTACTGAATAATGCCCTTACAATCCCATCATACACACAGCATCATCTTGTTACGAGTTGATCCTGGTTTCGCCACAGTTTGTGAAGCCTGACCGACCTTTTATGCATATTCTTGTCGTGATGCATTTTACATCATCAGCTTTTTAAAAATGGTTCGTACTCATTACGCGGTAATAAAGAATCACAAATGAGTACACGATTCATTAGGTTTCTTTCAGTGAGCTCGTGAGGTACTCCATATTCCAACATTTTTATGTACCCAGCTTTTTCAAATGCGCCAAAACTGTTTTGTGATCAACCTCTCAGTTCTTAGCTACGTTGTACTCTCACAGAAACTGCACTTGGTCCTTAAACGTCACAATATTTTTTCGCGACTTGCGTTGCATTTTTATCCTTATTGTTAATTTTAAAATGTATGGAGTTCTTCATTAGATTCACTCATTTTCACAGTTAGAAAAACATATAAAAATCACACACATTTTCTTAATTTGAATTCGGGGTTATCTACTGAAAAATTTTAAATTTTTAATATTACCGAAATCAGCCAAATGCAAATGGTATAGTCAAAAAGATTTTATTACAAGTTTATGCATATGTGCAAAATAACTTATTCCCCAACTTAATATAATTAAACTAACGTGTATCAGTCCATGAAACCGCATAAACAATACATATTTTTTAAATACCTCGAATTGTTTTGATTATAATACCTAAAGAGGCATAAAGTTCTGTCGGGTTATGGTAAATATCTGAAATGCATCCTATTTCCACATAACATTTGTTAGTATGAGATTAATGATACTGCTCTTGTTTCAGCTTTAACTGTCATTGTTGTAGAAAGCAAAGTTAAACTAAATAAAAACGAGTCTGCTGATTTTCCTTAGTCCCTTATCAAAATAACTGTGAATACGTAGTTTGCTGGTGAATACGGGCGTCGCGTCGATTATTCGCGAAAAGTGAAAATTCATACTACTTTTCACTGTCTATATATATATATGTATATACAGATACATTTATACTATCTATCCGTCTGACTTGAAAAACTATCGTCCTCAATGGCCTCTACTTTGTTTGAAGTTTTTGAAGTACTCCTGCAACCTGAGCTAATAAAATGTATTTTAACGATGCACAGTTTGGCCATTAATGCTTTAAAAAACACTGTCAAATATTATTAATCCAGAACTACCAACATATGTATATACCTGTTTTCTTGATGTCAGCCGGGCTTTTGATACAATTAATAACGATGAACTGTGGTCTAAGATTGATAGGGCGAGAGTGCCAGGGTATATTGTGGGACAATGAGTACTGCTACCATAACCAAACTAATACAGTGAAGTGGAGAAACTGTTTTTCTAAAGAATATACACTCGGTTCTGACGTTTCATTAATTTTGCTATTTAGTGTATTATTTTAGGCACTTAGTGTAAATATTTTTTTCAACATTTATAATCTGTTTATTATAAGGCTATTCTTTTAGACCTTGGTTTAGCTCCTTAAAATAGATCTTTTCTATTGCGAAATTTTATTTCTTAATTGACGCTTAAGATTTGTTAAGAACTTTTATTAGTAGCCTTAACCTGCGAATGTGTAAATGAGGCTAAATAAATAATTTATTTAAAGTGAAATAATAAAAAAAATAAACAAAAAGGCAGTTCCTTTCCCTCGTGTAGTAAGTTATACAATTTATTTGTTGATATAATTTTGATATTATGTAATAACTGACGCGAACTTTAGAGTGCAGTGTCAGTATGTCCTCAATAAATATGTTTTAAGACTGTACCACAAGGACGGTTATTTCTTAATAGAATTATTTTTACAAAACTTTCTCCAGTCTGTTTCATATTTTTAATTTTGCGCTATTTTCGTAGCTTATCTAATTTCGAAATCTCAACTAACTAACTAACTAGATTCAAACTTTCAACTTGCAGTTTAGTAATCTTGGAGATCAAGCATTTACTCGTTTACCTTTTTATTGGAACCTCATGACGCATGGTCTCGGGTTGGATAAAGATTAACAATCTCAACGAATAATGTCTACACTACTTTTATTAGTCCTGCTTTCTACTACTCACTTAAGACAATCATGGGCACTATGGCTAAAATATATGTCTATCCTGATATATTTTTCAAGTTTGTCATGCTCACATCTACATTATGTCATTGGTAATCTGAGAAAAGTGATTTGGATGTAGACAAAATGTTCCTCGTGTTCGTTATATACAAGCGGAATTGAATTGACATCCACAGGATGGATGGATGAGACAGGATATTCGTCACGACTATGCGATAGTACTTCAAGTGGTTTCCGTCGAGTGTGCACGGTTGAATGTCTTATCGTATAATTTAATTTGTCAATTCTGAAATTCTGCGACCGACGAGACGCGAC